CTAAATATGTTTTTTCGATCTGTGAAGGGGTGGGAGGGTCTTTGATTTAGGTAAAACTTGGAGATAACTTTGGCAGTTGGACCAAATCATGTCGGTGATGGTTGAAAGGGAATTGTATCTTGCCTAAGCTGGAAGTCATGACAAAAATCTGGGCCGAAGAGAAGTGTAGTTAAAAGTCCGTTCAACTCATATTGCGAACATGTTCAAATGAGCTTCATCCATGTACCCAATATCCCTCGATTATAATTATTATTGACTACACCTACTATCATCGGTCTCATAGTTTACTCGTTACATTTCTTATTCCTGTGATTTCTTGCAATGCCCACCAACGCAACCGATGATGCAACCAATGAGCCCACTGGGGGTAATGAAGGCGAAAATCCCGGCAGTGCAGCAAATGGACAGGATAATCCTGATAGTTCCCAATCATCCCTTTCCCCCGATGAAGCAATCATTGCCTTTGTGGTTTCCAGTCTGATTCCTAAGTTCCAAGAGCAGGCTAGCAGCACCCCGATGGAAACGGATCAAGATGCGCCACCTGGGGGTTAGTCAAATATGTTATCTTTTGATGAGTTGTGGCTATTCACACATACTGATGAGCATACTAATTTCAGACCAGTCTGAAAATCAATCAACGATTCCGGCAAAGTTGCCAAAAGAACCACAGTTGCCAGCTAAGTTTGTTGTTGCACAACAACAACTGGAGAAGGCCGATGCGGAAGAAGTGGCGGGGAGAAAAAGAACTGAATGGCGTGCAAGGGGAATGGCTCAACGCAATACAACCGTCAGCCATTTTCAACCATACGCCAGAGGCGTGCAATCTTTTCTTAAGTTTTTTCTTGGGGGTCCTGAGAAGCCTCACGATTTCCCCGCTCCTCCCACAGAAAAGGAGAAGGAGGCGCAGTATTGGATCGAAAGGCGTACTCAGTTTATCTTGAAGCAGCTAGATGCCATCCGTCAAACCCTTTGTGAAAAATCAGTTGTAGAACAAGACTACTTTATCTCTTGAGCAGAATCTGAAATTCGGAAAAACATCCAACCACCCCCCTTCACTCCAGCTCCCAAAAAAGGTGAGCCCCGAGGCAGCCGACCGATTAGTGCCCAAACAAAAGGTGCGGTTGAGAGAGATTTGGCATCGGCAGGGATTTCTAGGATGACTTTTGATTGGACGGTAAAGGATTGCGACTCCTCAGCGTGGAACTCGGCGGTGGTAGAAGTAATGGGAAGGAAGGCGGTGGAATGGCTCCGGCTTTCGATGAAAATAACCGAGGAAGATGCAGCGCAGGCACCAGCCATCATTCAGCGGTGGGTCCACGGAAAATGTCGAGAGATTCAACAAGCGCAGGGGGTGGAAGTCAAGGAATATGAAGCTGGGAAGAAGGCTAAGTTAGCAAAAGCCCAATATACCCGCTGGCGCAAAAAAGTAAGTGTGTTTCCTGTCTGAACCCCCGAGATATACCAGCCCAACTGATATATGAAAAACATCCATGTCTTCAAGATTTGTGAAAACAGGTGTGCGATGGCGGCAAAACTCTACCCTAATAATCATCGACTAGCCGTTGTTCTTGCGGATAAGGATTCACATTCGGATATTGAAGGGGCAGAAAAGGAGGGGGATCGGCCGGTTAGATGTGTGCCTGTTTGGCGAAGCGACTCACTTACCACTGTGATGCATGGGCTGGACAAGATGGTGATTGCTCAAGCTCAGCACCACAAACAAATATCCGTCAACAAAGACCTCTACGGACGTTCAAAATCCATATTCAGCAGGAAGAAGGGGATCGATGGAGTTCCACGGAATCTCCCTATTGATTGTTATAGCAAGTCATGGCGAGACGGATTATGTAAATTCGAGCAAGATACAGTATCCGAGGCGGCCGCGTTTTCTGTCGTTAACCTGGCCAAGGGGATTGATAGTCTTGTGACATTGGCACCTCCGGCAGGACCCACCGGAGCTGGAGGATCAGCGGATGTGAGATCAAGTGCTCAAGCCGGTCCAAGTGGGGAGAGGTCCATGAATGTAGACTAAATTCTTTTATATATGCTGTATTATCTTTGGATAGGAGGAATTGTACTTGAGTACTGGGGAGGAATTATATTACTTGTTTCCGGTCTGTGTGGAGGTTTTGTCAAAGAATTGGTACATGAAGATTCATGGCGTTGGGTGGTCCATGGTACATATGTGGTTTAGAGGCTTGGGACATCCAACCATGAGATTTGCAGGAGCGGCAAGCGCACTCATGTGTCACACAAACGTACGCGCGTACGTTTGTGTGACACATTTTTGAACACTGGTCCCTGCCGAGGTGCAGAATCTGCTCATGTAATAATCACACTTCATGTGTAATAAACTTGTTCTTTGTGTCTTCTGCAACTTAACCTGTGCACAAATGTTTTTGAAGGATGTCTGAAGTGTTGTGCAACTGCTGGGTAAACAGGGTTTGTCCTGCCCTTGCCCTGAAGTTCAATCACTGTTTTCCCTGACTTGAGGATTTGTCGGTTCCTGATTTCCCTGGAGAGAGGATGATCATCTGCCTGCCACATGGTAGATTCCAACAAAGTTATTCTAGACCAAATCTTAGCTATGGCATAAGAAGCATGTTGGTGGAGTGAGCTTAAACACAAGTAAATACACAGCTTTTCCCAAGGGTGGTGATGCTGACCACACCCAAAACTATAAACAAAGGATTATCTATCCCCTGTGTGATGTTATCATCCTTTGATGTGGTGAGCGGTACAAACAATAGATTGTGGGTGCACATGGTGAAAAAAATTTTCACCGTGGGACTGTTACCCATTCCAGAGACGTCAGTAAGGGTTTAAAAACCCCTCTCCTGTTCTGGATTTTGCTCCTTCCTCCCCCCATCCCAAAAAAAAATAATAATAATTCCATCCATTCTGGAATACCATCTCAACATCACATATAGTCCTACCCCCCTCTGAAGCTCATCTAAAAACAATGGATCCTATCTCCCCAGCAAGTGATACGACCAAAAGCCACACCAATTCAGAAGATTCTGTCTCTCAAGAAGGCCA